TATATATATATATATATATATATATATATATATATATATATATATATATATATATATATAAATAAAAATAAAACAAAGCCTATATTAGGACTTTACTTTCATGCACAAAATGTTAATATGTCATGTCACAAATAGAAAAAGCTGTAGTTGTTTTATTTTATTAGCAAATGAACACATTGTACTTATACGTAAGAGACTTTTATACAAAAATCCCAAGTCACAATCAGAGGAAAATGAATTTTATTTTATTATAATGATGAAGAATCAAGAATAAATGTCCCATTTCACCTCAAAATCTGAAGAATAATATTTAAAAAATGTGCATGATAAAAACAAAGCCTATTATTAGCACTCATTACTTTCCTGCTAAAACCCAGTGGTCCTAAAGCAGGAATATTTCTTGATTTTGGTGTGCTTTGGGGCTGAACTCTGTGTTTATGGCTGCTTCTTGTCTGAATGTAATCTGAGTGATTTGTGTCCCTCCGTCTCTCCAAACGGTCAAATACGGTTGTTGTTTATGCCCCCTCTACTGTTAATCATTTAGTAATAATTAATATTTCCCTGCCCACAACATTCACAACAAGTCATTTTATATGGAGAAAGTAATTATGATTTGAGGGAAGATTAGTAAAACGTGTGGCTTTGATGTGTGTGTGTCCAGTGTAGCGCGAGCTGTGGCCGCGGCCTGAGGTCCAGATCTGTGTTTTGTGTGGACGGAGGGATGAAGGCGGCTCCGGAGAGCGTGTGTGATGCTTCTCTCAAACCCCACACACACGAGCCGTGTCACAGCGCCACCTGCCTGTACGTCTGGATCAGCACCGCATGGACTCAGGTGCATCTGCAGTCTCCACACACCTCCTCAGAGAACAATACTGACCTCATAAACTATCACAGGGAGGAGCTGGATTGATGGAGCGACTGCTTTTCATTCACTTTCTGCTCTAGTTCACATAAAATAATAATAATAATAATAATAATAATAATAATATAAAATAAATAAATATTAAAATAATGAAATCCCTTTACTTGCTTCTCAAGTTCACATAAAACATAAATAAAACAATCAATAAATAAATACATTCATTTACTAGCTGTTCCAATTCACATAAAAATAAATAAATAAATACATAAATAAATAAATAAATAAGTAAATAAGTAAATAAATAAATAAATACATACATACATACATACATACATACATACATAAATAAATAAATAAATACATTTACTAGCTGTTCCAATTCACATCAAAATAAATAAATAAGTAAATAAGTAAGTAAATAAATAAATAAATACATAAATACATAAATTCATTTACTAGCTGTTCCAATTCACATCAAAATAAATAAATAAATTAATTAATAAATAAATAAATAAATTAATTAATTAATTTACTAGCTGTTCCAGTTCACACAAAAAGAAATAAATAAATTGATTTGTTTACTAGCTGCTCCAATTTACATAAATAAATACATAAATAAATAAATACATACATACTGAAATTTCTTCATTTGCTGTTCCAATTCACAAGAAAGAAAGAAAGAAAGAAAGAAAGAAAGAAAGGATGGAAGAAATGCACTTGCTCCTTCAATTCACATAATAAATAAATAAATAAACATAAAAATAATGAAATTCCTTCCTTTCCACTACAATTCATATGAAAAAAAGTAATAATAATAATAAAAAAATTTTTAAAGAATAATATATATATATTTTTAATGATAAGAGCATTAGTGTTTGAAATTCATGGACGCTTTGTGTTTGCCTCCTAAACTCATATTGAAACGTGAGTTTTCTCAGGTGATGAGAAACATAAATCCTCATGTTAATGTTTGTAAGTGAATAATGAATGCATTCCCATTTTTATTCAGAAAATAATTTTAGAATTCTTGTCGTATAGTAAGTTCAAAGACTCTATAATTGTCATTGCTATTATTTTTGTTATTGTTATTTAAGTTTATTTGTGACCCTGGAGCACAAAACCAGTCAATTTTGTGAAATAGGGTCGGACAATATTTGGCCGAGATACAACTATTTGAAAATCTGGAATCTGAGGGTGCAAAAAAATCTAAATATTGAGAAAATCATCTTTAAAGTTGTTCAAATGAAGTTCTTAGCAATGCATATTACTAATCAAACATTAAGTTTTGATATATTTATGGTAGGAAATGTACTAAATATCTTCATGGAACATGATCTTTACTTAATATCCTAATGATTTTTGGCATAAAAGAGAAATGTATAATTGTGACCCATACAATGTATTGTTGGCTATTGCTACAAATATCCCCCAGCGACTTAACACTGCTTTTGTGCTGCAGGGTCATATATTATTATTTTGTGTGTTGTCTTTTTAAGACAAAATTGTTGAATTATTGTGAACATTATTTTGAAAGGGTATTGATTGAGTTGATATAGCCGCTGCTGCTGACATGGCATCAAATAAATGTAAAGTAACTGAATCTGAATGAGTGCTGTGTGTGTTTCAGTGCTCGGTGAGCTGTGGCTCTGGACTCCAGCGGAGGTCTAAATTTTTTAGACTTTTGAAGGCACATTAGCTTTTTGTTCTGAACAAAAACAGCAGACGGGATTATTGAAAATGCAAATTCATCCTCTTTCACCAGAGCCACTGAGAAACATAATTGTTTATACTTTGGACTTTATTTCTTAAAAATATTTTAAAGGCTGAAATGTGAGGTTTGTCACTTTATAAAACTCTCTCTATTTGTGAAAACCTGATATTGAACTGCAAATAATGTTTTTGCATGCATTTTATGATTTAATTTGTTGCCATAGACATTGCCCAACCCCACTCATAGTCTTTATTTTATTTGATCAGGTCTTAAAAGATACCCTGTAAATTATTTCTTTCTTTTATAATTTATACACTTTATGTTGGCTATTTATATTATGCAATGTTATATGCAATCCAGACCAGTGGTTTTTAATAGCACAAGAACTCAAGTGTGTATGTGTTATGTAATTTACCGCAGTTTAAAGTGCTGGAAAAGCTTGAAAGTGCTTGAACTTGAGTTTGTAAAAGGTATAAGAACGCTGATGAAGACAAGCGCTGGTAATGATGTGCGGTGCAGTGAAGTGAGCTGGTTTTGTGTGTGCCGTTGCTAGTGTTCTCAGACGTGCGGCGCTGGAGTCATGCACAGGACGGTCCAGTGTCTCAGCGCTCAAAACCTCCCGTCTCAGAGCTGCCCGCTGTCCAGCCGGCCGGAGACACACGCCACCTGCCGACAGACCGACTGTGAGTTCATGTCCAGGCTTTCCGGGGCTCTTTTATTTCTGGCATAAAAGAGAAATGTATAATTGTGACCCGTACAATGTATTGTTGGCTATTGCTACAAATATCCCCCAGCGACTCAACACTGCTTTTGTGCTGCAGGCTCACAAATACATTAACATTGTCATGTACATTACCATGCTAATCCCTCCAAGAGTTGTCATGACAGAAATGAAGATTAAGTTTGTTTTTCTGACCTCATCGACAGATGTGTTATTATTTTAGGCATAAACTCACTTCAGTTTGATAATTCTTCAGAAGACAAGACTTGATATCTTCATTCATTTTGCATCTCAAGGAAATGCATCTTAAGACTGTTTAGATATTTGTACTGGAAAACAAGACAAAAACACTTTTTTTTTTTGCCGTGTATTTTCAGTTTTAGTTAACTGTAATAATTCTGTTGTTGTGTTTCTGTTGCTTGGTCTTAGAAAGGTCTTGAGTGTGTGAAGCCTGCAGAAGCGCTGACGTGTGTTTCTCTGATCAGGTGAGCTGCACACGAGCTGTCGAGAAGTTCAGGTGAAGGGAGGCGTTCAGAAAGATGGAGAGCATTACATCAAAGTCCAATCCAAGATCCTGCAGATCTACTGCGCCGAGATGCAGAGCGGTTTCCCCAAAGAATACGTGACCCTGCGAAGCGGCCAGACCGACAATTACTCCGAGGTGTACAGATACAGGTACAGAGACACGCCTGGCTTCAGTGACAAACCAGGGCTATAATGACTGAAAGTCTCTTCTGCTCACCCAGGCTGCATTTACGTATTTGATCAAAAATACAGTAAAAATTGTGAAATATTATTAAAGTGTAAAACGCTGTTTTCTATGTGAATCTCTGTTAAACTGTCATGTATTTCTGTGATGCGCAGCTGTATTTTCAGCATCATTACTCCAGTCTTCAGTGTCACATGATCTTCAGAAATCAGTATAATATGCTGATCTGCTGCTCAAGAAACATTTCTGATTATTATCAATGCTGAAAACATATTTTTGTAGAAACGGTGATACACTACCATTCAAAAGTTTGGGATAACTAGGAAACTAATATTTTTATTCAGTGACAGTAGAGACATTTTAATGTTAGGAAAGACTTCAATTTCAAATAAATGCTGTTCTTTTGAACTTTCTATTCATCTGTGAATCCTGAAAAATAAAATGCATCACGGTTTCCACAGAAATATCGGGCAGCACGACTGTCTTCAACATTAATAATAATCAGAAATGTTTCTTGAGCAGATCAGCATATTATACTGATTTCTGAAGATCATGAGACACTGAAGACTGCAGGAATGATGCTGAAAATACAGCTGCGCATCACAGAAATACATTACAGTTTAACAGAGATTCACATAGAAAACAGCTGTTTTACATTATAATAATATTTCACAATTTTTACTGTATTTTTATCAAAGAAATGAGACTTCTGAGATTTCTTTCAGAAATATCACAGCTCTGTTCCAGAGTCAAAGTCTGATATTAACATGTTGGTTTGTCACTTTATAAAACTCTCTCTATTTGTGAAAACCTGATATTGAACTGCAAATAATGTTTTTGCATGCATTTTATGATTTAATTTGTTGCCATAGACATTGCCCAACCCCACTCATAGTCTTTATTTTATTTGATCAGGTCTTAAAAGATACCCTGTAAATTATTTCTTTCTTTTATAATTTATACACTTTATGTTGGCTATTTATATTATGCAATGTTATATGCAATCCAGACCAGTGGTTTTTAATAGCACAAGAACTCAAGTGTGTATGTGTTATGTAATTTACCGCAGTTTAAAGTGCTGGAAAAGCTTGAAAGTGCTTGAACTTGAGTTTGTAAAAGGTATAAGAACGCTGATGAAGACAAGCGCTGGTAATGATGTGCGGTGCAGTGAAGTGAGCTGGTTTTGTGTGTGCCGTTGCTAGTGTTCTCAGACGTGCGGCGCTGGAGTCATGCACAGGACGGTCCAGTGTCTCAGCGCTCAAAACCTCCCGTCTCAGAGCTGCCCGCTGTCCAGCCGGCCGGAGACACACGCCACCTGCCGACAGACCGACTGTGAGTTCATGTCCAGGCTTTCCGGGGCTCTTTTATTTCTGGCATAAAAGAGAAATGTATAATTGTGACCCGTACAATGTATTGTTGGCTATTGCTACAAATATCCCCCAGCGACTCAACACTGCTTTTGTGCTGCAGGCTCACAAATACATTAACATTGTCATGTACATTACCATGCTAATCCCTCCAAGAGTTGTCATGACAGAAATGAAGATTAAGTTTGTTTTTCTGACCTCATCGACAGATGTGTTATTATTTTAGGCATAAACTCACTTCAGTTTGATAATTCTTCAGAAGACAAGACTTGATATCTTCATTCATTTTGCATCTCAAGGAAATGCATCTTAAGACTGTTTAGATATTTGTACTGGAAAACAAGACAAAAACACTTTTTTTTTTTGCCGTGTATTTTCAGTTTTAGTTAACTGTAATAATTCTGTTGTTGTGTTTCTGTTGCTTGGTCTTAGAAAGGTCTTGAGTGTGTGAAGCCTGCAGAAGCGCTGACGTGTGTTTCTCTGATCAGGTGAGCTGCACACGAGCTGTCGAGAAGTTCAGGTGAAGGGAGGCGTTCAGAAAGATGGAGAGCATTACATCAAAGTCCAATCCAAGATCCTGCAGATCTACTGCGCCGAGATGCAGAGCGGTTTCCCCAAAGAATACGTGACCCTGCGAAGCGGCCAGACCGACAATTACTCCGAGGTGTACAGATACAGGTACAGAGACACGCCTGGCTTCAGTGACAAACCAGGGCTATAATGACTGAAAGTCTCTTCTGCTCACCCAGGCTGCATTTACGTATTTGATCAAAAATACAGTAAAAATTGTGAAATATTATTAAAGTGTAAAACGCTGTTTTCTATGTGAATCTCTGTTAAACTGTCATGTATTTCTGTGATGCGCAGCTGTATTTTCAGCATCATTACTCCAGTCTTCAGTGTCACATGATCTTCAGAAATCAGTATAATATGCTGATCTGCTGCTCAAGAAACATTTCTGATTATTATCAATGCTGAAAACATATTTTTGTAGAAACGGTGATACACTACCATTCAAAAGTTTGGGATAACTAGGAAACTAATATTTTTATTCAGTGACAGTAGAGACATTTTAATGTTAGGAAAGACTTCAATTTCAAATAAATGCTGTTCTTTTGAACTTTCTATTCATCTGTGAATCCTGAAAAATAAAATGCATCACGGTTTCCACAGAAATATCGGGCAGCACGACTGTCTTCAACATTAATAATAATCAGAAATGTTTCTCGAGCAGCAGATCAGCATATTATACTGATTTCTGAAGATCATGTGACACTGAAGACTGCAGTAATGATGCTGAAAATACAGCTGCGCATCACAGAAATACATTACAGTTTAACAGATATTCACACAGAAAACTGTTATTTTACATTATAATAATATTTCACAATTTTTACTGTATTTTTATCAAAGAAATGAGACTTCTGAGATTTCTTTCAGAAATATCACAGCTCTGTTCCAGAGTCAAAGTCTGATATTAACATGTTGCTAAACTAATGTTTTGATATTTCAAGAAGCACTCAAAAGTGCTGCATTTATTTGATCAAAAATACAGTAAAAATTTGAAATATTATTACAATTTAAAACAGCTGTTTTCTATGTGAATATCTGTTAAACTGTAATGTATTTCTGTGATGTGCAGCTGTATTTTCAGCATCATTCCTCCAGTCTTCAGTGTCACATGATCTTCAGAAATCAGTATAATATGCTGATTTAAGAAACATTTCTGATTATTATCAATGTTGAAAACAGTTGTGCTGCACAATATTTTTGTGGAAACCGTGATGCATTTTATTTTTCAGAATTCACAGATGAATAGAAAGTTCAAAAGAACAGCATCTATTAGAAATAGAAACCTTTTGGAATTATATAAATGCATTTACTCCCACTTTTGATCAATTTAATGTGTCCTTGCTGAATAAAATAATTATTTCTTTCAAAAAATCAAACAAACCAGTTAATGACCTTAATTTTTAGAGATTGTTTTAATAATTTATTTTTATGTAATGCACTAATAATCTCTTGCTTCTCTGATTGTTTAGGGTCAGTTTAGTATAAATCTCAGTGGAACAGGACTGAAGGTCGCAGAATCCACTAAATGGGTTTCCCAAGGCAACTACGTCACGGTCAAAGTTCACCGGTCAGAAGTGAGGACGTGGATTATTATTATTATGATGATTATTATTATTATGATTATTATCAGTGTTGGGGGTAACACATTACAAGTAACGCAAGTTACGTAATCAGATTACTTTTTTAAGTAACTAGTAAAGTAACATATTACTTTTTAATTTATGAGTTTTTTTTTCAAATAAGTTACGCAAGTTAGTTACTTTGTTTCTCATGCATTGAGTGACAGCTTTGGTGTTGCCGTGGTGACAGAAATCAGGAGTAAGTGCAGAGCGTACAGTAAGAACATGATTTACTGTAGTTATGTATTTATTCATCTCACTGCACAAAAACAGATTCAGTGTTCCTCAAAGTGAAGAAAAACAGTGAAGTGCAAACTCAGGATGTGAGGCAAACCTGCTATAATTAAATGTGTTAAATTAGACAAATATATTTGATCTATTTAATCCCATTTTATTAACTAGTGTCTTTGCTGCTGACCTTCGATGATCCAATTCAACCATCCTAACTTTAGATAAACTTTCTACTGTACAGATGCGAATATGCGTTTCCTTCAGCCCGAGGCTTATTCATTTCACTTTTGGTGTAAAACCGCTTTTACATTTGCCAAAAATACAATATATATGTTTTTTTTAATATTAAAAACAAACAAGCAAGCCCTGCCCAGATTAAAAAAGTAACGCAAAAGTAACGTAACTTGTGTTAATTCCCATAAAAGGTAACTAAGTAACATAATTAGTTACTTTTTAGGGAGTAACACAATATTGCAACCAGTGTTGGGGAAAGTTACTTTTAAAAGCAAAGCATTACAATATTGCGTTACTCCCTAAAAAAAGTAACTAATTACGTTACTTAGTTACTTCTTATGGAAAGTAATGCGTTACGTTACTTTTGAGTTACTTTTTAAATCTGGGCAGGGCTTGCTTGCTTGTTTTTAATATAAAAAAGTTCTTTCTTTATAAATATAAAAGCCCTTTCACACCAAAAGTGAAATGAATGCGCCTCAGGCTGAAGGAAATGTAAACTCACGTCTGTACAGTAGAGGGCGCCGCTCAAACACATCTCATGAAGAATACGACGCAGGAGAAGAAAGTTCAACACTATTCAGCAATAACTAAAATGTTATTGTTATTAAGTTTTTGTGCAGTGAGATGAATAAATACATAACTACAGTAAATCATGTTCTTACTGTACGCTCTGCACTTAAGCCCCGTTCACACTAAGAACAATAACTATAAAGATAACTATAAAGATAACGATATTAGCATCCACACCAGCGAACGGTATCGTCTGTTTATTCTAAGCGCACGCTCGTCTGCCACTTTAATTCTTGAGCTCGTTACAGCAGGATGGAATCTGATTGGCTGTAAGTGTTTTATCGTTCATCAGCTGGGGAAACATCGTTTTGAAAGTGATTCCAACGATATCGTTCCTCTGTATCGTTATCGTTATAGTTGTGGTGTGAACTATGCTATTCTTTAATATTGAGAACGATTTTTAGAACTATATCTTTATCGTTATCTTTATAGTTATCATGCTTGGTGTGAACGGGCCTTTACTCCTGATTTCTGTCACCACGGCAACACCAGAGCTGTCAGTCAATGCATGAGAAACAAAGTAACTGTTACTTATTTGAAAAAGTAACTCTGATATTTCCTTCTATTTAATTAAAAAGTAATGTTACTTTACTAGTTACTTTTAAAAAAGTAATCTGAGTACGTAACTCGCGTTACTTGTAATGCGTTACCCCCAAAACTGATTGTAACGCATTACTTTTAAAAGTAACTTCCCCCAACACTGATTATTATAATAATCATTATTGTACGCAGTGATTTAATCATCGTTATGTTGTATTGTTGCAGGACGGTAGCAGAATCTACGGCCGCTGCGGCGGTTTCTGTGGGAAGTGTCTTCCTCATCCTCATACGGGCCTTTTTGTCAAAATCCAGTAAGAAAGACGTCCACTAAATCAACTTGAGAAAAACTCGTCACGACTGATTCGCATGTTTTTTTTTTTCACGTCTGGCAGCTACGCTAAACAGAACAAGTACGAAACGTCCCACTTCTGCACTTTCCGAAAGTTACAAGAACCAAATAACTACGAATCAGGACGGTTCGGGATGCGGATTGGATTCGTTTTTATGCGGAAACGTGGGTGAAATGATCATTACATGGATGTAGTCGCGTGTTCTTGTGAAAATGAATCAACATTTGGTCAACCATGTTAAATGTTAGATTCATTTATGAGCAAATCCTGCTCGTTTAACAGCACGTTTGAGGGTTTCTTTTTAGTTTTAGTTGTAGCAAACGGTCAAATCCTTCACTTTGGGCAGAGTTTTGACAGAAAAGGATTCATTTAATAACTTAAAAAGCGTTTCATAATCCAAAATATCTGCTCTTTTTCCAGAAGGACATGAACTACTGCACGTAAAACACGTTTTAGATTTTTTTTTATTTCATATGGAGCAAAAGACTCTGACGACAGCAAACTGCTTGATATGAAAACATAAGTAATTTAATGTTTTGTGTATTTGAATGTTTTACTTGTGTCTTGCATCAAAGTCTGGCTTAAAATGGGTTTGACAATCTAGAAGAAGGTAGAAAACACTGCAAAGGAGCGCTACTGAAATCTCTTTATCCTGACGATCGCTTTCAGCTTTAGGTAAAAGCGTCAGCTAAATGCATAGATGTCCTTCTGAACTAGTCTGGTTAATATATATGATATTTTATTAATATTTAATAATATACTGACATCAGTTAACGGTGCTAAAAAAGAGTTCATAACATGACGTTTGCATGTGCTTTTGCATTTTACACAGTTACTAATCTGATTCAAAACAGAAGCAATCATTAACATTTGTGCTAAAATAAACCAGCCTAAAGTGGTTTGCTGGGTTAAGCTGGTTTAGGTGACCAACTATTTGACAAGTGCGACAAAAAAAGACCAGCTAACCTCTGAAACCTGTCCTAAATCAGGTCACAAAATTCAATTATTTGACAGAATAAATTGAATTAGTTGACACTGACGGTCAGTTTTTATAAAGCAAATACACTACCATTCAGAAGTTTGGGGTAGTTAAGATTTTTTTTTATGTTTCTGAAAGTCTCTTCTGCCCACCAAGGCTGCATTTATTTGATCGAAAATACAGTAAAAATTATCAAATATTATTACAATTTAAAATGATTGTTTTCTGTGTGAATATATTAGCCTAATGTAATTTATTCCTTTAATGCAAAGCTGAATTTTTACCATCATTACTGCAGTCTTCATAACCAGCTAAATCAGGTCACTAAAGTAAATCATGTGACATAAAATGGACTAAATTAATTAATTTAAAGTCAGATGAATTAATACAGACAAACAT